TATAATAGATTATATATAATCTATAATAATATAATCTATTGCAATAGATTATATATAATCTATAATGATAGATTGATTATATATAATCTATTATGATATGTAATCTACTATTATGGATTATATAATTATATATTATTACATATACACACACACACACACACACACACACTATATACGATTGCTGTTGTTGTTGGGTACCGTCAAGTCAAGTACAACTTATAGTGACTCTATCAACAAAAGATATGAACCTAGTCCAGTCCTGTGCCATCCTCACACTTCTTGACATACAAGAGACCATTGCAGCAGTCACCTTGTCAATCCACCCGGTTGAGGGTCTTGCTCTCCTTTGCCAACCCTCCACCCTTCCCAACATCATGTTTCTCTCCAAGGAATAGCACCTCCTAACAATCTGTCCAAAGTATATGAGGAGAAGCCTCATCATATTTGCCTCCAAAGAACACTCTGGCTGCACCCTCTCCGAGACATACCTATTCGTTTTCTTGGCCATCCATGGGATGTTCAGTGCTCTCTCTACAACCACAGCTCAAAGGCATCAATTGTTTTTCTGTCATCTTTATTCATTTTGCAGGTGTCAGGTACATAGCTAGTAATCCGAAAGACCATGGCCTGAATCACATGCACCTTAGTCCTCAAACTGATATCACTTCTCCTCAATAATCTGGAAATGTCTCTAACTTCAGATGTTCCCAGCGCAATGTGTCTCCTTATTTCCTGACTGCTCAGACCAAGGATGTTAATTGTGGATCCAAGCAAGCTGAAGCTGTTGACCGTTTTAATCTCCTCTCCATTCATCATGACACTGCCTCTTGGTCCAGTGGTAAGAATCTTTGTTTTCTTGATATTGAGAGGCAATCCATACTGAAGGTTGTGTCATCTGCATAACACAGGTTATTGATGAGACTCCCTCCAATCCTGATGCCACATTCCTCTTCTTAGAATCCAGCTTCTCAGATAATTTGGTCAGCATATAGATGAATAGGTATTGAGATAGAATACATCCCTGATGTACTCCCTCCCCAATTCCAAACCATGCCGTGCTCCCCTGATACATTTGCACAACAGCCTCCTATTCCAGGTATAGGTTCTGCATGAGCACAATCAAGTTCTCTGGCATTCCCATTCTCCTCAATGTCAGCCACAACTTGTCATGATCCACACAGTCAAATGCCTTTGCATAGTCAATAAAGCACAAATAGAAATTCTTCTGACATTCCTTACTTTTAGCCAGGATTCATCTGACATAAGCAATGATATCCCTGGTGCCACAGCCTCTTCTAAATTTTGCTTGAACTTCTGGCAATTCCCTATCTATGTACTGTCCCAGCTCATTACTTATGATCTTCAGCAGTATTTTGTTTGCATGTGGTATCAGTGACATTGTTTGATAATTTCCGCATTCAGTTGAATTACCCTTCTTGGCAATAGAATTTCCTGGCATAGACTGGTAAGAGCATCCAAGGCTGCATCTGTTAGTTGAAACAAGTCAATTGGTATCCCATCAATTCCTGGGGCCTTATTTTTTGCCAATGCCCTCAATGCAGCTTCCACTTCCTCTTTCATTACCATTGGCTCCTGTTCATATGGTACTTCCTGAAATTTTTCAGTGTCAGTCAATTCTTTCTGGTACAGTGTCCCTGTGTATTCTCTCCATCTTCTTTTGATGCTCTCTGGGTCATTTAATATATTGCCCATAGCATCTTACAACATTGCTACACAAGGCTTAAATTTGTTTTTCAGTTCTTTCAGCTTGAGAAATACAGAGCTAGTGCTGCTGCATTCATAGTCAAAAAGTCAATTTCAAGTTATATTCTGAAATACAATATTGTAAGTGATAATATTCATATGCATACAAGGAAGACCCATTAACATGACTATTTTTGAAGTATATGTTCCTACATCTAGTGTCAAAGAGGAAGAAATATACCATGGACTGCTAGGAGAACAAACAGGTTCATCCCAGAGAGGTTGAATCCAGGCTGCTCCTTGGATTCTGAAGCTTCCTTTGACATACTTTGGGCATGTTGCAAGGAGGGACCAGTCCTTGGAAAGAAACATCGTGCTTGGGAGGGTGGAGGGACAGCACAAGAGAGGAAGACCCTCAATGACATTGACTGATTCAGTGACCGGGTAAAGGGGGTAGGTGTGTCAGAGACAGTAAGATTGGCACAGGATAGAGCAGGGTTTAGGGCTGTTATACATGGGGTCACTATGAGTCACAGGTGACTCAATAGCACATAATAACAACAACAACAAACTAATAGATACTTATAGTCACTGAAACTGGAAGAGGAAAGTACAGATTATCCCCTACAGCCTGTGGAGGGAGTACTGCCCTATTAGTTTCCTAATTTTGGACTTCTGGCTTCATGACTGTCAAAAAAGAAATTTCTATTATCTTAAGCAATCAAGTATAACTATTTGTTGCAGCAGCTCAAGAAAGCTAATACCCCATTTCTACATCTACATCATTAAAAGCTTATACCATTGTTTACCTCCAAATGTCTTAAAAGTATAAATGAGAAGTGCCACACCCCAACCAGCTTCTTACCAGGTATCACTGTATTGGAAAGTTGAATCTGAAAATGTCCTCCTAAAGGTGGACTTGTCCTCTGCAGTCTTTGTACTGTCACCAGGACCAATTCAGAGCCTTCTGTTCCTTCCACCTGCAAAGAACTATGACACATCAAAAACAAAGCATTAACAACCAGACAAAACACAGCCTCAAAGATCAGCTAAGGTACCATGCTTCAGGCCATCAGCTCCAGCTCCCATAAACGAGGTGTTCTTATATATTCAATGCAGAGTCAAAAGTCTAACTATATGCACAAGCAAAAGAAAAGTCCATGTTCTTCAGATCTTCCATCAGCCCAGTATTCCATCTGGAATAGGACAGGATCTCCATCCAACAAAGATTTCCTTTGAACAAGCACACTCCCTTTTGAATCTGGATTTTAATATATCAATGGTGCCAAACATGCTGTGACATCCCATGCACTGGAATCCTGTTTAGTTATTAAGAATCACAGATTAGAAAGATGATTAATGAAATAGGATCATAGTTGATATATTCTCTTAGGTCAAAAGGCCTGGTGACACACACAGTATTGAATTGAACAGTAGTACCAATTTAAAGCTTAAAAAGGTAAATACACATGTGTTTATATGTATATAAAATGGCTTGGGGCAAAGCTATTTGAATATGAACATATTCTTAAGTTTTATCTCCAAGAAGAGCAGTTGGGGTGATTTTTTCCCATTATGTTTTTCTTCATTTTCAGCAACAAACATAGGTACCATTTCATAATATAATATTGTCACTGATGTTGCTATGCCATTGAATAGATTCCAAGTAAAAATAGCTCAGTGTGACAGGCTACCATGGCCCCATAGATTTTCCTAGGCTTTAACTGTTATAGAAATAGATCACTACATTTTTGTTTTGTTTAATTTTTTGTGCAGAGTCATGGGGGTGGGTTGCAAGCACTCTTGTTCCTGTTTAAAGTCAAGCACTGTGATGTGAAGAGTTTAGTGTTCAGAATGGCATTCCTAGCCATTGAGTTGAACCTTGCCATGTGAATGGATGGGAATATGCAGATAGGATGTGTTAGCCTATCCACAAGGGGACTGACTAGTCTCACCACTAAATTGAGCAGATCCAGCAGCAGAAAAGGAGGGACCTCACCACTAGAAAAGAGAAACCAAAATGATGAAGTTTATCCTTCATGATAAGAGCAACAGCCATAGTGGCTGAAGCAGAGGACCAGAGACTCAACATAAGACAGAGCTGATCTTGGACTTCTACCCCCAAGAGAATGAGAGCAAAGAGCCTTTTCCAAAGTTTGTTGGGCAAGCAGAGGACTGAGGGGGCAGGGTGGACAGCCATGATTGTTGGCAGGACTGAGAACTGTGTAGCATTAGCCTAAACCCGTGATGGCTCAAGGCTGAGGTTCCTGCAAATACATTTTGGAAGTTATTCTGGCTGAGTGATTGTATTCTGCCACTAAACTGGATTATAACCTCTTGACTTCCCCAATATGGTTCTTCTGTGTGATCTGTGAGCTTTCACATTGGAATTTGGACCCAGTAAAGCAGTAAGATTGGTGTTGAGATGAGCAGAAAGAGGTATTGAGAGTGTGGGAGACATGGCTGACCTCATGGGAATTGGTTTTGCGTTGCTGATGCTGTTAACAGGGACAATTCCCCTTTGTGAAGTTAGCATAGATCCTATATGGTTGTCTGCAGAAGGCCTTTGCTATTTTTACAAACAATTATTATACCAGTTGTTGTTGTCAATAGGTGCCACTGAGTTGCCTAAGATTCATAGTGACCCTATGCACAACAGCTCTGAAGCCTGCCCTGTCCTGAGCCAGTATGACTCTCACACACCTACTCTCATTACCCCAGTTACCATGTCAATCCATTTCATCTGGGGTCTTCCGCTCTTGTGTTGTCCCCCTATCCTTCCTAGCATGATGTCCTTCTCACTGGAGTAGGCCCTCCTTGCCACATGCCCAAAATATGTGAGACAAGCTTCAAAATCCTTCCCTCCAAGGAACAAGCGTCTTTCATCCTCTCCAAGGTAAACCTGTTTGTTCTCTTGGTGGGCCATGTTATGTTCAATACACTTCTCCAGCACAACTCAAAGGCATTAATTTTTTTCTTTGGTCATCTCTGGTCATTGTCTAGCTCCCTAATGCATAGCTAGTAATTGAGAAGACCAGAAGCTGAATCAGGCATACCTTAGTCTCCAGATTGACACTGTTGCTCTTCAACACTTTTGAGAGGTCCCTGCCTTCCCTAGAGCAATTAGTCTTTTGATTTCTTGACTGTTGGTTCCAACAATGTTGATTATGGAATTGAGCCAACTTAAGTTGTTAACAACCTCAATCTCTTCTCTTTCCATCATGGTGCTGTCAATTGGCCAAGTGGTGAGAATCTTTGTCATCTTGATGTTGAGCTCTTCAATTTATTCTGAAGACTACAGTCCTTGACCTTCTGTAGCAAACACTTCAGGTCCTCAGTTTCTGCGAGCAAGGTTGTAGATTCTAAATTAGCCTCTACCATTTCATGTTAATAAAGGTGGTGGCATTTGGAGCACAAGACAACAGGCTGGCTGATATAGTTGACTCCCTCTCATTCTACCTCAGAGATCCCTCATCTCTTCATTCAACATAATGTGCTTTTCTTCTCTCCCCCTAGCCTGCCAAAAGTGTAAAAGAGAGAGAAGTACAGATTCTAGCTTTCTGTGCCTGCCTGCAATGAATGGCCCCACACATGCAGAAGGTATGAAAGCATAGTAGAAAGAGATTTGGGGGGAGAGAGGATGTGGAAGAAAATTTTCCTTTTTTAAGGCATAACATCTAATTTCTTCCCATCCTACTAAGCCTTAAGTAAAAATCAAAAGACCAGTTAGAGAATATATATATTCTAGGAGCTTAAAGATACCTATTCTTCAGTTTCTGCATTGTAACAGTAATTTTAATGTTGTTAGGGGTCATTCAGTCAGTAACAACGAATAGGGACTCTGTTGTTATTGTTACATACCATGAAGTCACCTACGACTCATAGCGACTCTATGTACAAGAACCCTAAACCCTGCTCTATCCTATGCCAAACTTATTGTCTCCAATGTCAGAGGCAATTACTCTAGCCAATGAATCAGTCCATTTCATCAACGGTCTTCCTCTCCTGCGCTTTCCCTCCACCCTTCCAAGCATGGCATCCCTCTCCAAGGCTTGGTCCCTTCTTGCAACATGTCCAAAGTATGTCAGATGAAGCTTCAGAATCCTTGCCTCCAAGAAGCAGCCTAGTTTAACTCTCTCCAGGATGAACCTGTTCATTCTCTTAGCAGTCCATGGTATATTCAGTACTCTTCTCCAACACCACAGCTCAAAGGCATCAACTCTCCTTCTATCATTCCTAGTCATTTTCCAGCTCTCTGACGCCATAGCAAGTGATTGCAAAGACCATGGCTTGTATCAGGCACACCTTAGTCAGACGGACACTGTTGTTCTTCAGTATTTTGGAGATGTCTCTAACAGCAGACTTTCCCAATGCAATACATCTTTTAATTTCCTGGCTGCTGGTGCCAAGAGTATTGATTGTGAAGCCAAGGAAACTAAAGCTATTTACAATCTCAATCTCTTCACCATCTATCATGATGCTGCCAATCTTCCCAGTGATGAGAATCTTTTTTTTCTTGATGTTGAGCTTCAATTCATATTAAAGACTGCAATCCTTGACCTTCTGCAGCAAGCACTTCAGGTCCTCCCAAGTTTCAGCAAGTAGGGTTGTGTCATCTGCATAACACAGATTGTTGATGAGTCTTCCTCCAATCCTGATGCCACATTTCTCCTCAAAGAGCCCAGACTCCCAGATAATCCATTCTGAATATAGATTGTAAAAGTGTGGAGATAGTATACATCCCTGACATACATCCTTCCCAATTTTGAATCATTCAGTGTTTCCTTGTTCTGTTCTGATGACTACCTCCTGGTCCAAGTATAGGTTTCACATAAGCACAATCAAGTGTTCTGGAAGGAGAATAGGGACTCTATGTATTGAAAAAAAAATGATAACGTTGCCCTATCCCATTTGATCCTTACAATCACTCTTATATTTGAGTAAATTCTTACAGTCACTATATCAAGCCACGATATTGAGGGTCTGATCCCTCCTGACAACAATGCTGAAGAACATCAATTGAAGAAAATCAATCACACCCTCCCCTTTTGAAGAATCAGTCCAGCTGCCCTTCTATTAAGACAGGTTTACTGATCTTAGCAGGCCAAGGTAATTAAATATTCTTTATCAACTCAAGTCAAAGGAATAAATTCTTCTTCTTTGTCCCTTATTCATTGTCCAGCTTTGTCATGCAAATGAGGAAACCGAGGACCATGGCTTGGGACACGTGCACCTTAGTCTTCAAAGTGACATCTTTACTTTTTAACATTTTAAAGAGATCTTTTGCACATGTGTTCAGTTAAATTTTTGACTACTAATTCCATAAAGATCCCTGTGGGTTTTGGTAAAACAAAATCTTTGGCAATGTCAATATTTTCTCTGTATCCCATGATGTTTCTTATTGGTCTACTTGACAGTATTTTTTGTTATCTTTAAATTGCAATATAACCCAGGCTAAAGGTTCTAGTTTTTGCTTTTCTCAGTGTTTCAACCCCTATTTATTTTAGCAAGCAAAGTTGTGTCATCTGCATATCAAAGGTTGTGAGTCAGTCTATAATACTGAGGTTACGATCTTCATACAGTCCAACTTCTCAGAGTATTTGCTCAGAACAGAAATAAGTATGACAAAAGAATACAATTCACATGCACATTTCCCCTGATATTAAACCACACTTGTATGTATATTAACTCCTTGTATGTTTTAATAACTGCCTTTTGGTCTATATAGTTTACACAAGAACACAATTAAATGCAATTTTGATTCTCCTTAACTTTATGATTTAGTATGCTCTACATAACAGAATGTCTTTGCATAGTCAGTAAATTACAGGTCAATGTTGTTGTTGCTGTTGTTGTTGTTGTTGTTATAGGCCGTCAAGTCACTTGCAGCTCATAGCAACCCTGTGCACAACAGCTCTGAACCCTGCTCTATCTTGAACCAATCTCATTGTCTTTGACAAACCTACTTCTATTACCCCAATTGCTTAGTCAATCCATCTCATCCGGGGCCATTTGCTCCTGCACTGTCCCTCCACCTTTCCAAACATGCTGTCCCTCTCCAAGGACTGGTCCCTCCTTGCAACATGCCCAAAGTATGTCAGACAGAGCTTCAAAATCCTTGCCTCCAAGGAGCAGCCTGGTTTCACCTTCTTCAAGATAAAACTGTTCTCCTAGCAGTCCAATACTCTTCTCCAACACCACAACTCAAAGGCACCAATTTTTCTTCTTTCATCCTTTATCACTGTTCTCTTTTCTAATGCATAGCAAGTAATTGCAAAGACCATGGTTTGGATCAGGTGCACCTTAGGCTCCAGACTGGCATCATTGTTCTTCAGTACTTTAGAGAGGTCCCTAACAGCAGATTTTCCCAATACAATTAATCTTTTTCTTTCCTGGTGGCTGGTACCAAGAGTGTTGATTGCGGAGCCAAGAAAACTAAAGCTGTAACAATTTCAATCTCTTCACTGTCTATCATGATATTGCCAATTGATGCAGTGGTGAGAATCTTTGTTTTCTTGATACTGAGCTTCAATCCATATTGAAGGCTGCAGTCCTTGAAGTTCTGCAGCAAGCGCTTCAGGTCCTCCTCAGTTTCAGCAAGCAAACTTTTATCATCCATATAATGCAGGTTGTTGATGAGTCTTCTTTCAACCTAATGCCATATTCCTCCTCATACAGTCTAGCCTCCCAGATGATCTGTGTCACATATAGATTAAAAAGCTATAAATATAGGATGCATCCCTGGCATACACCTTTCCTGATTTTGAACCAATAAGTGTTTCCTTGCTCTGTTCTGTTGACTGCCTCCTGGTTCAAGTATAGGTTTCACATAAGCACATTCAAGTGTTCTGGGATTTTCATTCTCCTCAGAGTTAGCCACAGTTTGTTCTGATCCACACAAATAAACTTTGTCAATGAAACACAGGCATTCTTCTTGTACTCTGTTTGCAGCCAAGATCCATCTAACATTAGCTATAGTATCCCTAGTGCCACAGCCCCTTCTAAACCCAGCCTGCACATCTGGCAGTTCTCTGTTGATGTGTTATTTCAGTCATTTTTAGATAATTTTCAGCAGAATCTTGCTTGCATGTGATATTAATAATATTGCTTGAAAATTTCCATAGTCTGTCAGTTTACCTATTTTTGTAATGGGAACAAATATGGATCTCTTCCAGTCAGTTGTCTAGGCAGTTGTCCTCCAGATTTCTTGGCATGACTCAATGAAGTTCATCCAGCACAGCGGCTGCTTATTGAACTATGTCAATTGGTATACCATCAATTCCTGTAGCCTATTTTTTTTGTATTTTTTCAGAGCAGCTTAAACTTCCTCCTTTATCACCATTGCCTCTTGATCATATGTTGTTTTATGAAATTCTTCTGTGTCAGCCAATTCTTTTTGGTACAAATGACTCTATCTCCTTTCCTGTTCTTTTAATGCTTTCTGAATCATTTAATATTCTGACCAAAGCATCTCAAAGCTTAAATTTGTTCTTCAGTTCCTTCAGCTTAAGAAATTCTGAGTACAGCCCTTTTGATTTTCTGACTCCAGCTCTTTGCACATTTGATTATAATACTTTGCTTTGTCTTCCCACATTGCCATTTGACATCTCCTGTTCAACTCCTTAATGTCTTGATTTCTTGGCTTGGCTTTGGCTTCTCGGCATTCTAGTGCAATATTCAGAATCTCTTCTGACATTCATCTGGGTATTTTTCTTCCTCCTCTGTCTTTGTAATGAATGACCTTTTGCCTTCTCCATGGATGATATTCTTGATATCCACCCATAGCTCATCTGATCTTCACTCATTAGTGTTCAAGTCCTCAAACCTGTTTCTGAGATGGTTTTGAAATTCAGGTAAGATAGACTCGAGGTCAGATTTTGGCTCCTGTGTATTTTATTTAACCTTATTTAGCTTTATTTTGAACTTTCATATGAGTAGTTAAGAATCTGTTCCACAATCAGCACCTGGCCTGGTTTTCACAGCTGATATGGAGCTTTCCTAATCTGATGTTTATGTTTCTTATAAAAGGTATTTGCAATTAATACACCATGGATTGTACAGAATTCTATCATTCTATCTCCCACCTCATTTCTGTCATCAAATCCATGTTTTCTGACTAGTGATCCTTTTCCCCTGTTCCCAGCGCTGCATTTCAGTCACCCATTATAATTAATGCATCTTGAGTGCATGTTCGATCACTCTAATATTCTTTGTTTTTAACCAAAAATCATTTGCTGTTTGAAAGAATAGTCTTGTTCAATGTCCTCTTCTAAATTTGCTACAGTCGTTTTTTTATAAAATTATCCTCAGCGAAACTGTTAATTAGAAGCCAAACGTTTGATGCTTTTTAAGCAACACTTCCTGGGCTCCAATGCCACCTGGTGGTTATTTCTTAGAAATAACTACTTTAGTTACTTAAACTGTTCAAGAAATAGAAAGATTAATACATGTGACTGAAATGGAGGGAAACGGCAAGAAGGGGAAATGCTACCATTGATAGAAGTCTCTTTAAACATTTTCACTGAAAACTAAAGATTGTTCACCCTTTGAACTATTCATTCTCAAAATGTGATGGCCAAGTTAGTGGAAACGCTATCACGAGGGACGACATCATGAAGAGAAATTTTCAGGCACCACCCTAGACCTGCTGAATTACAGATTTTGAGATGATATCCTGTCATTTGAGCTTCAGTATGTCCTCCAGGTAAGCCTGACATTGCCTGCTGACTTTTGAGAACCACTGCCTTACGCAATAAGATAGGCAGCTTTTCCTGCTGAAAGCCCCACCTCTGTGCCCCCCAAACCAACGAGCAAGTTAAGGTGGAGCAGACAAAAAAGACTGCTCCCTACCTTGCAGTGATGAGCGGGAGCTTGGAGCCACAGCGCACAGGCCACAGGGTGACATTGTAGAGCGGAGGGGAGCCTGCCACTGAGAGCGATTCCACCAGGTTGATTCCACCTGGGCGAGCTGTTCCGGAGTCGACTTGAGAAACTACAGAGCAAAGATCTGGTTATTAAGTAACTCAGGACCACACACACACACCTGCAGTGTGAAGAAAAAAAAAAAAATCCCAGCTGGAGATGCGGAATTACTCAGACCTCACTCATCCCTCTATAGTCAGAACCAACTCGAAGCTGACCCTCCTGTGGGTTTTAAGAGGCTGGAAATCGCAAGGAAGTAGAGTGTCAGTCTTTCTCCTGTCGAGCAGCTGGTGGATTTGAACTGCTAGAAAGGTGTCACCTATGGTTTAGCAGGCCAATTCCCTACTCGGCCACAGGGTCACATCCACTCAGGGCCATTTTTGTCCATGGCAAGAGAAGGGAAAGTAGGCCCACCATTATGTTTAGGAAATGCAAGGTCATGGTTTAAGGAGATGAAGATTGATTTTATAGCAAAAGTCAGTCCACTCCGAGCCTGCCAAGCATCGTTCTCTGCATCCTCAGAGACGTCCCTCAGAGGTAAGGTACTACTGCAAAACAAGACTCGGTCTCTCTGTATTTCTGTCCTTGTTTATCTGTTTTTCTCTTTGAGTCTCCCTCTCTCATTGCTGTTGATTCAGAATCGACTCATAGTGCACTCCCATCCCCTCTTCAATCAGGTTTCTGAGGATATAAATTGCACAAGAGATTGGTTTTCCCCCTCTGAGTCTCTGGTAGATCTTCATAATCAAAGAGGCTGGAGCCTTTCGGTTAGACAGACGACTCCCCCTTTTGCACTGTGCCACTTATGGTCAAGTTAAATAAAGAAATATGGAACAGTAGTGACACCGTAGGGAATTATAACCCACAGACCCTTACGTAAGTAGACAAAATAATTTGAGCTAGTCAATCAGATGCTGCTACGAAACTGCTACTCAGTCACACAGATCTGATTCCAACCAATCACAGTTTTGCTGGCATCACTTTCGGTTTTGCCTGCTGGCCTCACTCCCCTCTTGGTCCTAGACCAGGCAGAAAACCCTCCGCCCTCCTCTTGTTAAATGTACCAAATCAACAAGATAGACTCAAGTATGATTACTGATCAAGCATGCAAAGTTTATGTTTTCAGTAAATAATCTTTAAAGCAAATTCTGGCCAACAGAGAAACTAGATAAAATGGACAGTAAAGCATTTCTTCTAAGACATCCCAGTTTTCTGTCCTAAATGGCCCCCTCAGTTCGCACACCTGGATAATCCCAGATACTAAAGGATGTGGTGGCAACAAAGTGGGTGCAGTGAGAAAGAGCTCTAGATCTGAAATTATTCAGGGGTTTTGAGGGGTAGAAATGAATTCAGATGAGAGAAGAGAGAAAGAGAGAGCATCTTTTAAACAGTTCTGAGTTTCCCAATCACTGAATTCAAACGTAGGACGTACACGTAGTCCTGGGTAGACTTGGAGTCACAAAAGCCCCAACCCCCTAACAACCGTTGCCTTAGGCACAAAAAAAAAATCCAGAGAGTTACTCCAACCCCTTATAGGAAAATTACCATTTTCTAAGTGCACCAGAGCATGAACAAAGTTGATAAATGGTGACCCAGTCTGACTCAGCTGCCACAAATTTAAATCAATAAAACAGATAAATAGAATCATCATGACGATTAAAGATGGCGGTGTAATAGGAAGTTGTGCTGCTAACCTGAAGTCTGGGTGGCTCTTGTGGTTTAAATCTACCAGCTGCTCAGGACAGAGATGGGTAACCTTGCTCATCTCATTGTGACCTCCAGTCTCGGAAACCCAAAGGAGGGTCACTGTGGGTCAGAACTGACTGAAAAGCAGCAAGTGTCTGAGTTTGAATTTTGGGTGCCACCCACCTCCAAGATCTCCTGTATTCACTTCTGGAATATGTAGGCAAAAAATTGAAAATGTGTCCCTTTGGAAGTGAAAATGGCATTTAAATCATGGTGTTAATAATGATCTCAACCTTTTCTCCTTAGAACAAGAAGTTCTAAAAGTAGCAACGCTGAGCCTAGAGTCACAATAGATATGATGGAATCAAGAAAAGTGAATGAAAGCTTGAAACCAGAAAGTGAAATGTACTGTTCTGCCTTGGCGGTGAGCTTCTGCTCCTCTGAGTGTACATCACTATCACACAGGGCCTCAGATGGGTATTTTGTCCCAAAGACTTGTGGGAAAGCAGGACAAGCAACATTATTGTGCCCAAGAGAGACCACGGGAAGCTTCCGGGAGGAAGGGGCCTGGATTTCAATATGAATAAAGACTAGGAGAATTAGAATGGCCAGAAAGGACTAGAGCCTTCTCTTAACCTCTACCTCTCACTAAGTCGGCCTCAAGAGTCATAAATCAGACTTTTAACTCACTGATATCGCCAGGTTTATGCCAGCACTTTGTATGACAGACATTAACCCACAACATGATAGAGAAATTTTGCTGGTCTAATAACAAAAAATCCAATTCATTGTCACATTGGTTCACAAGCCTAATGACCCTTCATAGACTGTCCAAGGATGTAAGCCTTAATAGGAAGAGATGGCCCATCATTTTCCTGTAGAATCAGTGGTGAATTTAAAGTCTCAGACCCATAGGCTACACCAGGAGAGTTCTCTGACCTAATAAAAATTTGGTTTATATTTATGGAGCACTTACTATGGATCAGGAACTATGATAAATTATACAGTAGTTATACTTTATGTTATATTTTAGTTAATCTTTACAGTATTCAGTGGGATGATATTGTTAGGTACCATCAAGTTGACTGTGAGTCAGAGTGGCCACATGAACAAGGATAAGAATCTCACCCTTTTCTGTTCCACCCTCAAAATCAATCTCTGATACACTTAAGCCCATTATTGAGATAGAATCCTTACTATGAAAAAAGCAAAACTACAAAAAATATTGATAAAACAGAGGTAAAAGCATAGATGCTTAACAATGCCAATCAATAGCACCGGAATAAGTAAAGACTAAGTCACAGCACCCCAACTTTGTCTCTTGGGTAAGCAAAAAAATCATTGCTCCTCCTCCTTCTGCTTCCTCATTAAAAAGAAGCAAATAAATCTGTGATAGGCATGTGACAGGCCCATAGAGGAGAGTGGCTTGGGTGGTTACCTGTTAGGTTTGTGTCTGCGATAATGATTTCATCCACGTAGAATGAGCCCACCTCCTTCATCAGAGGAAGGAAATTTATCTGATGAACCAGCACTGAGGCATTATCTGGAGGGGCCTGCAGATCTCCAGAAGGACGCACACAAGTCTCCCAGAGGTTGATGCAGGTGAACACCCAGCTGAAAAACAAGTGTCCAGCAGAAATGGGGCTCTGGATATGCATGATTAGTCCTCTCCATTCCAGCCCCGCATCTCAAAGCTTGGAACCTGCAGACTGTGCAATCCAGGGGAGGGTCCCTGTGGATGCACCCAGACAGCGCCACAGGCGTTAGCTCCCCACCCATTCTAAGGTTGGTTCAGCTCCTCTTCAGATAGAACACTTTCTTTGTGACTTGACATCAAGTCAATTCTGACTGTGGGTGTCACTGTAGAATTGAGCTCCATGGGATTCTCAGCCGTTGATGTTTCAGAGGTAGAGCAGCATCAAGCCTTTCTTCAGTGACACCACTGGGTAGATTTGAATTTCTAACATCTTTGTTAGCATCTGAGCATGTTAATTATCTGTGGAACACTGCAAATCCTCGATGTAACATTATTTTTCTTTTTTAAATTTTTTGTTTTGTGATCTTTTTCCTACACTTTCTTTTAAACTTTTATTTGGAACTAATTGTGGTTCACAGAGATTATAGAAAGTACATTGAGAAATCTCCAACTTTAAAGTATATTTATCCAATAATCCAGTATTAGTATTTTATATTACTTTAGCATATTTGGCAAAACATTTTATGCTGAGCAACAGTTAAGTAGACTACAGAACTTACTTGGATCTCATCAGGTTTACATACACTCTTTTTATTTATTGGTTTGTTTACAAAGTTTATATTATTTCACACTATTCTTCATTCATATTGTGTTTCATACAATCATTCTCATGCATTAAATTAATCACCCTGGGTCTTGCCCGTCATTTTTAGGAAAGTTTCAGAAAAGTTGATTTTCATTCATTCATTCATTCATTGTTGCACAATTACCTCCCTCCTCCATGTCCTACCCCCTCCCCAGTCCACTTTGCAATGTATCTCTTATTCTGGACCATTGTCTTATATATAATGCTTAATCATATATTCCTTTTAAACAGTTCTCTCCCTCATCTGTTCCACTATAATATTCATTATCTAGCAACTCTTTTCCTCCCAACCCCCAGGTCCTTCCTGCTTCATAACAGTGGTGTTATGCAGCATTTGTCCTTTTGAGACTGAGACATTTCACTCAGCATAATGATCTCCAGGGTCACCCATGTTGTTGTTGTTGTTGTTGTTGTGTGCCATCGAGTCACTTGCAACTCATAGTGATCCTATATACAAGAGCTCTAAATGCCATTCTGTCCTGTGCCAACCTAGCCATCTCACTTATTCCCACCACTCCAGTCACAGAATTAATCCATCTCATCGAAGGTCTTCCTCTCCTTTGCCGCCCCTTCGCTTTGCCAAACATCATGTCCCTCTCCAAGGACCAGTCCCTCCTTGCAACATGCCCAAAATATGGGTCACCCATGCTGTATAATATTTTATAAGTTCATTATTTTTCAGTGCTACATAGTATTCCATTGTGTGAATATACCATCATTTTTCTATCCATTTATTTGTTGATTCTATCTCTCTCTTGTTGCCATTGAGTTTTCACTCAAAGCTGACTCTTTGATGGGTTTCCAAGGTTGAAAATCACACGTGAGGAGATTGCCCATCTTTCTTCCTCCAAGTCATTAGGGGATTCAAACCACCAGAAAAAACTCGTCCTCTGGGTTAGTAATGTAATTCTCTACAGATAACACTAATAAGTCACATTTTAAATCAAGTATTCATTCGTCGCATTCAATGCCATAAAGCATTGAATATTATAGTGTCATAGTGATATTATAATATCATTTTCTGTCCTTATATGTTAAGGATATAACCACAGACAAGATTGATAATCTTGGACATCACAGGCCTTATTTGGGTTTAAAACCCATATTTGCAAAGAAAACTGAATCAAGAGATTAAGATGTCTGGTTTGTACTCAAAGCTTGGTTCACTCACTGAATGAATTTTCCAGATCCAAAATACAAACCCCTTGATTTTAACCTATAACAAATTACCTTAGAGGACAGAATAGAACTGCCCCATAAGGTTTCGAAGGCTGTAATATTTATGCTACATCTACATTTCCCTTAGCAGTTGAGTGCTTAATCACTGCATCACCAAAGCCCTGAGTAAACTTTATTTTTTTAATTTTTTTAAATTTTTATTGTATTATTTTTACGTGTACCATCAAATCAGATCTGACTGGTACAGGAGGAGATTGCCCCCTCCTTCTCCAGCAGAGCATCTGTTGGATTTGAACCGCATACCTCTGGGATTGCAGTGCAGTGTCTTGCCACCAGAGCTCCCTTGAATAAACTTTATTAAATCCTAAATTCTGAATGCCAATTCTCATCTGAAATGTCAGTAAATGCTCTCTATAACCTCTTCCAAATACACTGTTCTACAGTCCTTTCCCCATGAGAAATGGCAAAATTCACCTAGGGGGAATTATGGGCTTGCTAACTAAACACAAACAAAAAACTGGTGTGAGGGAGCTGATTCTGACTTCTGGTGACCCCTCGTGTGTCAGAGGAAGACTGCTCCCTAGGGTTTGCATGACTGCAACTTTTTTAGAAGTAGCTTGTCAAACCTGTAATTCCAAATTGCTTTTGTGTGGATTTGAACCTGCAACCATTTCTTTTGGTTAACCACCAAGTGCATTAATCATTTGTGTAAACTACATATTCCCCCCTTGACAACTAACTACTCTTAAATCTAACTTCTTTGCCAAAGAAAATGTGTTCAAAGTCTCAGGTTAGCACAAAGGGCTAAATGTAAGTGATAAAACTTCACAAAGCCCCAGAGAAACATTGGATCAGGAGTTGATTATGCTCACCGAAAGATCAGTAGTTTAAACTCAACAGCTGCCCTGTGATAGAAAGATGAAGCAATCTGATTCTACAAAGATTCATAACCTAGGGAGCTCTGATGGCCTAGTGGCAAGAAGCTGCACTGTAATCCCAGAGGTATACGGTTCAAATCCACCAGATGCTCTGCTGGAGAAGGAGGTGCAATCTCCTCCTGTACCAGTCAGATCCGATTTGATGGTATACACAGAAAATAATAAAGTGATAATTAAAAAAAATTTATAACCTTAGAAATATCATGAGGCAGATCTACCCTGTGCTATAGGGCTGCTATGCATTGGAATCCACCTGATGACAGTTTTATTTTGTTGGCTAATGCTTCCAGTGGCCCATTATTCTCACAGAACTCAGAGCTATCACCACCAATCATCTCAGATTAGCTACCTCTCAGGCCTGGTCTCCACAGGGCTCCAGTCACAGGAAATGTTCTTCATGATGCTCTGAGAGTCAACTGTGATGGTCAAGATTATCTTCAAGATGTCATTCACGCAGACTTTGTATGCCAAGCACAGCTATAAACACCAAATCAGTCTGTCAGTTCTCTTTGTGCAAAAAACAGCCCTGTACTCAGTATGGAGAATAACTCACATCTCTAGAACCTTCTGACATCACATGAGAAAGAGGCCTGCTGCTACCCTCATGGAGCTTACCACCTGGAAAGGAGAATTCCTTTCATTACTTTTTCCCCCCAGCAGAATACCTAGTAGTGTTCTTATAAGTAGAGATTTGAATAGAAGAGGAAGGAAAACAATCATAGGTCTAGTGCCTCCTTTAGAAAATTAGCCTAATTTTACCCAAGACATTTGCCTTCTTTCTCTGACTCTCATTCCCCTACCTTCAGCCCCAGACATAAACTTCTAACTTTAAGTATAAAATTCTTCTACATAAGAGGATGTTAAAGTGAGTTAATTTGTTTTTTAATCTTGGCACTTGGAACCAAACAGCTGTTTGCTGAGGGGTTGTCCTGCACATTGTAGGGTGTTCAACAGCTTCCCTGACCTCTACCCACCAGACATCTCTAGAATTCTCACTCCCAGTTCAGTTTTTTACAAACAAAATCAGCTCCAGGCAATATCAAATGACCCCTGAAGAGCAGCCATGGAGAAGAATTGCTGCTCAAGAGTGAAGGCTGGA